ATCATAATGTGCGTCCCCAAAGGGTATGGTTTTTTAGCCATTTTGGTCAGAAGTAGGGTATCGATTTAAGCCATGTTGGTCTCAAATAGGGTATGGTTTTACCTCTACATGTAGTCTTGAATTGGGTACGTTTTCTAGAAGAAGCTTTTTCAATAAATGCCCTTCACAATGCCTTTAACATTGGTCTGAACTAGGGAACAAATTATAAGGCAGGTCCAAAACAGGGTATTGATTTAAGGGTCAGGTCTTCAATGGGGTATCAAATTTTTGGTAAGGTCATAAATAGGATAGGGAAAATTGTAGATTTTGGTCTTAAATAGGGTAAGGGTTAATGGGAAGCCGGTCACACATTCCCACCCAATTTTTCTGGGAGTACCCCCTCCCCTCCATTTGAATGCCAAGAAGACCCCAGGCACTTGGCTATTCTGTCATTCTATGTCAAATCTGATATTGAATTAGACGGTAAGCATCATAACATTTGACATCAAAAACTGAAGTTGTTTTTTTATTTTGTTAACAATGCCACAGACCAGGGAAGAAATTCAGCACCTTTTGAGTATCTATCAGAGGTGCTGAAACAGCATCCAGCCAGAGACAAGCATATTGTTAGGATCAAGGTTTGTATTTAGTATAAACACATAGTTGCTGCCAGTCATGCATCTAATATTTCAAATATAACCAAAGTCAAATGCATTTTCTTCCTTTATGTAGTTTCATTTTTTTTGTTGGAAGAATTTAGATGCCAAACACTTTTTCTAACACTGCCTTCAATTTAACCACATATCATTTCCTTTTTTTAGAGTAACTCTTGTTTATTCTCTCATTTCACTCAGGCATACATTGCCACTTTGTTATCTCGTCCTGATCCCTTGTCGTCAGAGTGGAATATAACTGTAAAACTGAATGACGGAACAGCTGCTGTGGATGCTGACTTGAGTGAAAAGGTAGGTTGGGAAAGTCTACATATGAGCCAAGTGGCCCATCAGGTCAGCGCTTATCTCTGGTTTCAGTAGCATGACACGATTTGGAGTTTTTCATTTCCCCCCTGGATGGGATGCAAGTCATCGAAGGGTTACCTCCGACATTAAATTAACCAGTACCCATTTATACACCTTGGTGGAGAGAGGCACTGTGAGAGTAAAGTGTCTTTCCCAACACAATGTCTCGGGCCAGGGCTCGATCCTGGCCCACTTGATCCGGAGTCGAACACACTAACCACGAGGCCACCGTGCCTCTGCCAAAAAAAGGTAAATGGTAACCAAACTGACTGTTTTGTGAACGGAAGATGAAATGTCTCTGGGCGGTTTGCTAGTCTATTGCAGGCCATCCCAAAGCATAAAAATATGGCAGATCCCTTACCAAGGTTGATGATGATAATATAGGATATAGCATTTTCTGGTAAACGGTATTTAAAAACATAAGCTTTCAACAGCCAGTCTACTGTCTGAATATAGAGAGTAAATCGCATAAATTTAAAATTACTACAGGTATAAAGAATGTTCAAAAGAATGCTAAAAGTGTTAAAATTAATGTTTGTGTAAAAGAGTGTTGTATTGTCTTGGGAGTGGGCATGAGTTATTATCAGCCTCAACAGTTTTTGCCATGTGCCATGATTCCAGTGTCTTTCTGGTGCAATGGTTTCGTTTGTCAATGATTGTGGAGTTGTCAAAGTCAATTACGTGGTCAAAACTCTATGCATGTTTAGCAACATTGGAGCCTTAAGCACATTGTTTTGTATTTCTAATATCTTCTTTTCTTCTGGTGCTAAATGATCCTTTAGTTTCACTGATGTAATTCGATTGACATGATTTTGTAAATAACATTGCACTGATTGCCTTTTAATAGGAGGTCGAAACTTGGGAACAGGAAAATCTTATTGTGGTGTTTTTGTTGGTTTCTTGAAGACTTGAATGTCATGCCTCTTAAAAATCCGAGTGAGTGGCTCAGTAACGCTCTTGATGTAGAGAAGGAATGCAAAACTCTGTCACCTCGATGGGTCAGCCCATTTGAAGAACATACACTATTACCAACTAATTCCTCTGGTGTTGGTGTAGGTGGTGGTGGCAATTTCTTTCTTATGATATGTGATTTACTCTCTATATTCAAATTTTTTATGATATGTGATTTGCTCTCTATATTCCAATTTTTGATGTTTCATTTTATCACAAATTTTTATCCGTTGAAGACGGTAGACCGGCTGTTGAAAGCTTATGTTTTTAAGTACTTTTTTTTTACCAGAGAATGCTATATCCTCTATTATCATATCCCAAGCATGTTTTCAAGTTATCCCCCAAGATTGCAGGTACAATAATCTGTGAGTAAGAACCTGTATTTTCCCAAATTACCCTAAACAGGTTCCTACATAAATGGTATTTAACAAACATTTAGTTTACTTAAGCCTTAAAGGGGTTCTTATATTCTTAAGAAAATAATTCCAGTTGAGCTTTCAAATTTAGTACTTTTCAGCCTATCCCTTACATAAAATTAGCGTAATAAGTATTTATTATTTTATGCAATAATGACTTATATTAAAAAAAGAAATGCTTACCACACAAATGGTCATGCGGAAGTCTTACCTTTGTACAAAACATTACATGCTTTCTCAGCATTAACAGTGTATAAAAGATGGCAAAATGCTATATATTTGTCCAATTTAGTGGATTTTTACCCATGATTCAGAAAATAAGAACCTGTTTGAAATTTTAGGCTAAACAGGTTCTTGCACAGCGGGGTCTAACTCGCAAATTTTGGCCTAGCAGATTCTTAAAATCTAGGTTCTTACTCGTGGGTTTTTACTGTACTCAATAAATAATAGCTGAATAGAACTTTGATAGAACGAACTGTCTTGCCAATGAACACAACACAGTGACTCGCTCAGGGTTCAAGACCTCTTTATCTTTACGCTTAAATATGTAATTTATATGATTGTCTCAAGCCAACGTTACTCTGGCAAAGCATGGCCATCACAAATACGTACAGATTTTGAATGAATGAGAAAATAAACGTGGGATACGTGAAACTTGCGTGAGGCCTATATGTGCCAAAAATTAGCACGTGTGGTCTCACCGCGCACCCAGTGTGACCCAGTCCCCTCCCCGTATAATTTGAGGCCAGCAAATCTCAACAGCTCCGGACGGATTTGAACTTTGTTACCCCTGTTGAGTGGGTTTAGCATTGCCGTTCTCAGCGAAGAAACTTATTCTTTACAGAATTTGTACTGGTTCACACTCCCTATAAAAAACGATCCAAAATTCCTGTTGACTTGCTGCTCTGACTCGGGTAATGTGAAGTTTTTGTCTGCAAATGTACTTCCTGTGTGATGGTGTACTCCGGAAATCCCGACAGCTTTTAATCTAGACAATTTTGAGTCTTTCAACACATACTAAAATACCACACTGAAAACCAATAGCATTTCAAATCGTAAACGAATTTGAGCTTATGGTATGTAAACAGCAGAAATCTTGGCACTTTTCAGTGTATACTCGTGATCTCGTGATCTCAGTATCACGTAACGAGCTGAAGCAGAATTCCAGATTGTTCAAATCACCGACCGAAATGGCCGCCGTTCAAAAGCAGACATTGCCTTCGTTTTCTTCCATCATTTCTGTTTTGTCTATTGTGTTTTACTG